TGCTGCATGCAGTCTTTCTATACTGTGATACTATGCTTACTGGGTTGTCCATTCAACTTCTCTGGAGCTTTCAAACCTTGCTTAATGCAGCAGCTTAAGTGCTCCTTTGGCTAGGAGTCACTTACACTCACCCACTTCCAAGTACCATGGCTGCCAATATAGCACATTTCTGTCTTTAAAATATAGTAAGTAGGATATAAATACTTAAACAGTCTGTGCTTGCTCTACTATCCTACTCTGGCCTCATCAATGGATTGTGTGGGATTTGCTCAGTTCTTCTAGGTTGATCATGGAGTGGGAAATTTCTCAGGCCTTGAACTATAATGGCCTCTGCTAGAAAGAGTTCCTTGGTAGAACTGTATTGATCAACTCTCTTAGAGATGCAGCTAATGCCAATAAAAACACATATTTGTCAGTGTAACAGTATTTACACTAGGGCTTTTGCCAGTATAACTACACTAATTAAAATAACAATTCCTTTTCACACTCCTAACTGATGCAGCTATGCTAGCAAACATTTCAAGTATAAGCCAGGCTGCAGTCAAAAAGTAGGTCTATGCTGCAGTCACAGTGTTTTATCCTGCTCCTTACGTGGGGTTTCCAGCCTGTACTGACCTCCATTCTACCATGACTAGACTGCCACAGGTATCCAATCTTGTTAATTTAAAGCTGGCTTGGGTATGTCTGCTTTATGCAAGTCTCTGGGTTCCACATGCAAGTAAATATGGGTATGTCTACACTGTACACTACAGTGAAGCACAGAAACCCATGACAATCCCAAGTGAGCTAGTTTGGGCACTAGAAGCAGTCCAGCTGTGGTATCATGGAATTCTTCATTTGCTAATTTACCCTGGGAAGCCACAACCTATCATCATCTGGTACCCAGGCTAACTCATTGGCAGACAGTGTGATGACCTCTATACACCACTGTACGCTGAAATATAGGCATACTAACTCCTGGAAAAGGTTGACAAAATCCTCTCCTTCATTGTCTACACACATGACAAAGCCCAATTATTGTAGTTGCCTTGGTCTTCACCAAAATCTAACAGGTTTCCTGGGTCAGCTAACCCTCCTCCTGTGCTCCTTTCTTGGAATAAGTGAAACGCTGATCCCTTTGGGTGGATTCATCTGGAGTGTACTGGGTCTGAATTTGTGCTCAATCTGTCTGATCTGGTCAGGGCTATAGCTATATGGCATTTAGCAAAGGAAATTATTTTTGAGCAAGGTGCTGTCACATCCTGGGATTCCTTGAGATCCTTTTGGGGTGCCACAAAATGCTACACAATGTTAACACAGTTAGGTGCACAAATACAATTCACAAGATAAACCCAGAGATTTCAAATAAGAATCCATAACATTAAAAACATTCTAGCCTGTTGTGGTCTTTCTGAGTTCTCTACAACAGAACAACTGCTCTAGTATTGTTATGTAGTCAAAAAGAGAGTGAAAACTAAGAGCTAGCATTTTCCAAAGGCTTCTTTGAATCTACTGAGGGGTGCCTCCAGTCTAGAAAAGTTGAAAACCACTGAGCTAAGGTCTGTGCTAAAAAGGATTATACTGGAAACTTCTTTCAGTACAGTAATGCTACTGAGGGATGTGATGGTTTTTTTAATGTTGTTTTCATACAACAACAGTTATGTTATGCTATGCTTTTACCACTAGAACTTGCTTATGTATTTGGGAAACCTGAAAAAGCACTTTTTAAAAAGATGTTTGTTGCGCCTATATTAGAAAGGCGTTGCCAATCAAGCTACACAGGCAAGTACTTTCCAGTGTATTAAAGTATAAAATGTATGTGGGTGTGTCCTCCCCCTACCCTTGTGTGAGGAAAGAAAAAAAACACTGCTGGCTTTGACAGTGTGATTATCCAGTTTCCAAACACGTATGCAATTCCTTATGACATGCACCTGACCAGGCAGGTTTCACCTTTGTACTTAGATCCAGATTGTAGTTGCATATTTCATACATGCAATGCAGACGTTAACGGCAGGGAAAAATCTGCATTTGGCTTTCATACTTCAAATTGCTTTATGCTTAATCTGTTCTAAGGGGGGTGTGGAACTACTTTGACGCTACTGCAGCTAAGACATAACTCTCAATTCCAGCTGCAGGTGACATGCTGTGCTTAATCAAGATGTTGTGCCAGCTTTCAGTGGACAGGAGAGCTTTTAGTCCCAACATCCCCTGCACAATGTGCACAGCTGACATGACTGTAAAACCTGTTTGGCTGGCCAGCTAGCCAAGAAACAGACAAGCAAGAATTAAGCTCAGTCTCTGTTTCAGTTATTTTTATGTTTATGGAAGCTTTTGTGACAATGACTAAAAAGACTGTTCCCATAGCCTCTGAGAGCTTGACTTCAGTTGCAGAATTCCCTTTCCTTATTTTTCTAGAACGTTTAAACTCTTCCCTTTTCCAGGCCTAGAAGAATGACTGATTATACCATATCCCCAGAGCGCACACAAAACTTTCCCACTCCTTCATACTTTGGAAGACTTGCCTATTGTTCCCCTTCTACAACTTGGTGCACTGATCCAAGTAAAATATGTTATTTCCATCTTATTTGTCCTATCATTGTTCCCAACATTCACAGATTTCCTTTCTCCACAACCCCACAGCATTACAATGCCAGACTTTATAGGAGGTAATACCTGTGTCTGAAGCTGTTTGTGCTGTAGCCCTCTCCTGAAGACTGGTCTCAGATCCTACCTCTTTGCCATTATCTGATTTTTCCTTTGAGCTCATATCTTGAGGAGAACTGAACATGGAAAAAACAACCTGATTAGATTTTAGAGAAAGGGCATTTCACTCATAGGATAAGTCTCCATTGCATGCTTGCCTATAGTTTCCCCCATCAACCGCACATATGCCCCTATTCTTGTGTCTTGGGAGAAGTACAATCTGACTTTGTAAACTCTGTTCTAGTTCTAGGTATATCTCCACTTACTAGTACAGATGGAGCATAGCCATCAAAGGTGCATATCCTCCTCCAGGGACATTCCAATCCCATTACTTTTTCTAACCATTTTGCACACTTCCTTCTTGCTCTCTGCTTCTCAAAAGCTGCATGGAACTTCATATTGCTCTGTTTGATGTTTAGCACTTCATTTGTTTAAGGGCAGAAAAGCCATGTAAGGAATTTCTACAGCATTTTGGCCTCCTATATTCCCTCCTAGTACCTACTCCCCTCAGCCATATGCAAAGGTGAATGGCTTAGGTGTTTCACATTAATGCTTTTGCTTTTTTAAATATGACTGCAGGGCCACAGGGCTTTCAAGAGTTTTTAGATAATATTTTAAAATGTTTTTTTTCCCCCTTCCTTTCTTTTTTTTTAAATAAATGCTACAACAATACATTATTTACTATTAAGACCTTTACTAAAAATTAATGTTCACATTCATACTGTTTTACGTGACCTTGTTAAAATGTGAGTATTAATATAGCTGGGGAACTTTGAGTCATGTTTAAGGCATGGCAGTTCTTTGTGCTACAGTCTCCAAAACTCAGCATTTTCATGTTAGTTCCTTTCTATGGAAGATGCCCTGGAATTCCCTCAGGCCCTAGATCATTAGGTTTGGGGCTTTTTCTTCTGTATTTTCTTAGTCAGCTTATGCATTGGTAGTCAAAGAAGATGGGCCAGTCCACAGCTAGCAGTCACCCACGTTTTTCCGCAGCAGTTTTATTAATGTTCTTACAGGTTTTCCCCACTCCTGGAAATCAATACCTACACACTTACCAATCATGCAGCAGCAATTCTACTCAATCAGTCATTTTTGGTGATTGTGCAGTTTTTGCTGCTTCACCTCTGTAACAGACTAGTTCCCTTCCATTCGCTGATCTGTTGTGCTGTCACCAGGCTCTTAAAAGCCTCCTTTTGGTAGATTGATGGAACCCCTCTGCTAGCCTCGTGTTTCCTTTCAGGAATTTCCAAAAAAGTTGAGTCCCTAGTGGACTACCAAGCCTGAAAAGGATTTTGGAGGTAGTCCCAGTAAGAGGCACAATTATGAATCGCCCCCAGTCAAACCTGTGATGTGGACTGATTTACTCTGAATACTTTTGGTAAAAAAATGTGCATAGTTCATTTACTGAGATGTGTACAGTTCTCATGTTGCTAAGTTGCAACCTGCAGTCTTGAACCAGGAGACTGAAATATTTAACTGAAATGAAAAACACTGCAATTTGTAGCCTTGTCTTTGTGCAGGACTAAGGTAAGAAGAATTCAATTCTTCTTATTTAAAAAATAAAATTAATGTAGGGACTCTACCACTGCCTTTGCAGTGTTAGATCTGAAGGGTGGACATCCTGCCCCAGAGCTCGAGTATGCAGATGAGGCAGAATTGAATCAGAGTACCCTTTAATCTCTCCGAATTGAGTCGGAATCCTCTGCATCGATTCAGAGAGATTCGGACATACACAGCTTTAAATGTTTTTTCTACATACCTCTAGGTAGCAGGGGCTCATGAGTGCTGCAATGCTGGGGCAGATGGAGTGTCTCACAGAAGCACGGGGGGCTCCCCAGCATGCTCGGCAGCAGAAGCACTTCCAGTCCACTTCTGGGTCTGCCGAGGAGCGCACAGGGGGCCCCCCAGCTCAGCGACTGGTGCCTCCTGGGTCGGGGGTCCACCCGGGGTCCCCCTGCGACCGATAGACGAGCTGGGGAGGCGCAGGCGGGCCCCCCAGCAGACCCTGAAGTGAACTGGAAGTGCTTTTGGTCCACCTCCAGGTTCGCCACTGAGCATATGGAGGGCCCCCGTGCTCCTGTGGGATGCTTCAGCATTGCAGCAATCACGAGCCACACCTGCAACCTCAGGGTATGTAGAAAAAACTTTTAAAGCTGTGTTTATGGCCGAATCACTGATTATCTGAATCAGCATCAAATCTTCAGATTTGGATTTGGCCGAATCAAATCGGGGACAATGATGTGAATCAACTAATTGAATCACTGTCCCCAATTCGGGCCGAATCCAAATCGAATAGGGCCCACTTCGCACACCCCTAATATTGAGCATCCTTAATTTCCATTGACTCCCATGACCCTGTTGTTGAGGGCATTTTCTGATTCTACACACTGGTGAATGAACTCATTCACATCCAGGGTCCACTCCCTCATTCTGGAGTGCAAACTATAGGCATATATGTTTCATCAATAGCTCCACTTCTAGCCTCGCATACATTGTGCAAGAGGCCATCATATTCACCCAGATGGTTTTGTAGGCACTGCCAACTTGTCTTCAGCCTTCCAAATACACAAGCTATTACTATTCATCATCTTCATGTACTTTAATTTTCTATATGGACTTAATGTGATTACACAGGTAAAGATAGGCAGAGTGCCTCAAAATAATAGCGTGTGCCAGTACATCATTAAGAATGTCTGAGCATGGAAATGCCAGATCTCCAAAAAACACTGGGATCACATGGCATTGGCATCTGTGGACATATCCTTGTGGTCCGCTAAGCCCTGTGGAATCAGAAAGTAGGATTCACCAGCTCATTCTGGAGGGCAAACTATAGGCATATGTGTTCCATCAGTAGCCCCACACTGTTTGGGAACCCTATTCTGTGGAAACCTAACTGTATTTCAAGTACATTCCTTACTTTCTCAACCAGTGCTAAATTACTTTAAGAATACTGGAAGCTACCACAAAACTGGGTAGCCATGGGCCTGTAGCTGTCTGCAGTAGCCAGAAAGGTACAACAACCTGCTTCTGTAACACCATTATGGTCAAATTTGTCAACTGTCCTCATGCTGGATAACTGAGGCAAACTCCTTGTTCATGCATCTTCATGTAGGAGTTCTGGTGCCACTATTGGCCATCCCAGGCCTACAAACTATTCTGGCAATTTTCCTGTGGCAAAAATGCCAGTCTACCTATGGGGATTGAATGACAACTGCACCACTCAACACGTAAATCTGCCCAGTCTTCACAGAAGTCAAATGTCTTCAGCTCCTGCATTCAGCACCTTTGCACATTTCAGAATGGTCTAAAGACCCTTGAGCATCTCTCAGAGTATGTACATCACAGTGTAGAAGCAGTTGTCCCATGACCAGAAGTAGCTAATTGATTTGACCCACTAATACATCACGCACAAAATGAGGTTTGTTTAGTATCTCAAGCAACAATAGGATAAAATAAGCTTCTCCCATGAGAACAAGAAAAGCTAAATTACCCCACAGTGCATCACAAGTCAATTCCTAGAAAGGCTGCACTTGCACGGTACTAAGAAACTTGAGATTCATCCCCCAAAACCCTCGTATCAGACATGCATTCCAGAAGCATCTGGGTATGCAGGATGTGGCACCTGTAAGGCAATTCGAAGAGGAAGAGGAGGTGGGTTTGCCTAGCTCAAGCTTGCAGGGCATGGGGATACAATGCAGGGTTGATATATACATGGTGCTTGACTACTTGCCATGGTTAAATCAATTGGCACATCATCCCCTAACCTAAGGAATTGTGATTCCTAGCCACAAATAAAAATGTAACATTGTGGCTGTTTAGTGGCCTATAGCAAATAAACTACTACCCTTACAGTAGTTGTTAGCCGGGAAAGTATCCTTACCATAACAGCTCCTCAGCTATTTAAGTCTTTTACTAAAGGCAAAGCAAGTTATGTATAACTTATCAGGGACAGAACCTCTCATAGTGCAGTTTAGGAATGGAAGGTGCAGCCCTGAAAAACTTATGAAATCCTTGTCAGTGGGAATATGGGAATCAGTGGGAAATGTATATGTCTAGCTGATAACAGTTAGGAGTGTGAATCAATTTACTTGTGCAGTTGGGGGAAGAGAAACTGAAATGACCTCTATGATCCTTTCCAACTCAAATGATTATAATATAAATAAGGCCAATCTCAGAGGAATTGAGAAGCAAAGAAAACAGTTTAGTATGCTAAACACATCGATTTGCTGGTTTTATATTTCCCTTATTAAGAAAAATGGCAGTATGCACACCTCAGAAAATAACAATGACAAGTTAAGTTTTATATTAAAGTAACAATTCA